CCTCACAGGCTGTGGCTGAGACCTCCTTCTCTATAGCGTCCAGCACGTCAAAGTTGTTGGCGCTGAACACCAGGTCCACACTACTCGCGATGATCTTCAGCTCGTCCTGGCTGACCCCGGAACCAATTCCGATACTGACGACCTTGACCCCGGTAGCGTGTAGGGCGGGGGCGGCGGCTTCCGTGCTCTCAGCTACGTGATGTGTCATGTTTAGAGGTGTCAAGTGTATAGAGGTGTCAACAAAAAAAACAACAAAAAAGTACAAAAGAGGGAGTAGGGAGAAAGGTGACAATGGAGTTTAATAAAAAATCGTGTTTGCCTCAGAGAGGCTTAAATGCTTCTTCAGGAAGTATAAAATACAACAAGACCCCAAAAGTCAGAATATAACGTAAAATTGTCACTAGATTATGATATCGTTAACAAACAAACCAGGAGGTTTTTTTTCAGCTCATGGCCAAAACTTCGCTTTTTCCAGGGACCTCGGGCCTCGATATATTATCAACTTAAAAAAAACCCACCAACAACCTGGCAAACAAACAATAAAACAAACACTTTCATCACAGAAGAAAATGATGTTTTAGCGTTAAACGTTAAAAACAACAGTATAAAATCATCCGAAACTGAACTAACAAATTTGTACTGTTCATGCTCTCGAAAGGGGTAGGCCACGGGAAACATGGAGGAGATGCGTGGAAAGGGGCATGAGAGAAATGAAGCTCACTTGGAACGAGCTTGGAAGGATGGCTCAGGACAGAGATAAATGGAAGGAGCTTGTATGTGGCCTATACCCTGTCTGGGGTGAAAGGCATTGATGATGATGATGCTCTCGAAATACTTTTCTCGCCTATTTCATATAGAGGTTTTCACTTCTCCCATCTCAATCCACCCCTCCCCCCAACAAGAAAAAAACAACAAATACTAAACAAAACAACAACGACGGCAGCAACAACAAGAGAAGCAACAACAACACACACACAAACAAACAAACAAACAAACGAAAAAGCACAACATCATTCAGTAGATGCCACTCTGAGGCACGGACCTAACTGAGCTCAGAATTGCCCACTTACCTTCCTCTCTGTCCCTGACCCGTGGACGTGCTTCTGTGGTGTGATGGTTGGGCTCTTAGACGTTTGTTGCAAATACTTTTGTTCGATTCCCGAATGATCAGTATCGAAGATCGTACCTAACAAGATAGTTCACTCAGCCAAAAAGGTGTCCCCGGAAGTGCACGCATTGGTTCAGATGGCGCTGCAGTCTTTGTTTTGAAGCTCTCTTTCGTTTCTCCAGAAGAAGAATAGGAATAGCAAGGTTTGTTAGTTTCGCTTTTATTGTTTTTCACACAAGTAGGGTAACTCTGTTCGCAAAGTCCGCACTTTTTTAAAGAGGGCACCACCAGATTTTGAGGACATTTTTTTCGTTGGCTCAAAGAGAGGAGAGAACTATCTTGTTAAGTACGATCTTTGTCAATATTAGTCTATTTTCCTTCTCTATATCCCAGTACAATTTCCGCGAGGATACTGCATCTTTTTCATCCGGCATCGGCCGAGGAGGACAGAGTCGAAGCAGCCCTCCTCCTAAATTATCCTAACCGTGTCTATTGGAGAGAAAAGTAGTTACAGACATCACAAATGATACCAGACTCCTGTCTCCCAGGAGACCTCTCCGAAACGACCTACAGTGTGTTGAGAAGGATTTCCACGACGGATCAACCTCTCCTTTGATTGATTGAGTAGGTGTTTTACGGCACTATCGACTCAATTCTGGTCATGTAAGTGCCAACAGCAACCTCTCAAAAACCTCTCCAAAACGACGTACCTTGTGTGTCTATAAGGCTATTCACAATAGAGCAACCTCTCCAAAAACGACTCACGTTGTGTTTCGAAGGCTATCAACTACGGCTCAACCTCTCCAAAAACGACTTACGTTGTGTTTCGAAGGCTATTAACTACGGCTCAACCTCTCCAAAAGGACGTCCCTTTTGTCTAGAAGAAGGCTATTCCATATAGAGCAAATCGCTACCTCAGAATCACAACGTTTTATCTGACATTTGTGGTCGTTTTGAATTACTACGACCATGAGATCAAAGACTAAAAGTAATGTTCTTTCTGCTCTTTCAAAATGGTAAGATTATTCGGAGTCATAATAAAGATATCAAAGAATTGCTTTCGAAAAAGCTTGACGTGAAGTGAAACTCAATATCTTTGACATCGAACTTCTCAAAACTTGGTACTGCGCAGATAATACTAGGTAATTCTGAGGTAACGAATACATGTTGACAGTAGTGCTGGGCGGCTAGGTTCCAGACTACTGAAAGCTAGGAATCGTAGGAATCGACTCCGAACCCAATTACTTGCTTTCTAATGATGTGATGTCTTCCGATGGTTACCTGGTTGGCTCCGAACATCTTCAGGATTTAGGATAACCTTGATTTCGGAACACTTTGAAGCATCAACTTTTGTTTTTCAAAAATAAATTCTAAAAAAAAAAAAAAGATTTTACGGATTAAAGTAACTGGTAACCGTTGGTTTACGTAAAAAGGAGTCGGGACTTTTCTTCCGTAGCATTAATCGTGGTAATCGGTTCCGGAAGCGATTCTTCGCTCAGTTCTAGTTGACGGGCTACTCACGGAAAGTGGACATTCCATCAGTGACCACGACCGCGAGCTTAGCGGCGTTTGGCCTGGCCCCACAAGCCGAGGTGTAGTATTCGTTCCTGGCCGAGTCCAAGGCCAAGTGGGTCATGGTGACCCCTCGAGCATACGACACGTTCTTCACAGCCTGGGGACAGACAGGGTGTTTGTATGTGTGTGTGTGTGTGTGTGTGTGTGTGTGTGTGTGTGTGTGTGTGTGTGT